CATCTCTTGGATCCTGTATTTGATTCAGCCCAGCCTGCTTTGTGAAGTTATTTTTGAAAGGAATTCATTTGTTAATTGTCTACACTAGCTCCAGACCCGGGGAATCATTGATTTTTTTGAGGCAGAGTCTTGCTGTGTCACCCAGACTGGAGTGCAGCGGTGTGATCCTGGCTCACTGTGATCTCCGCCTCACAAGTTCAAGCGATTCTTGTGCCTCAGCCTCCTGAGCAGCTGGGATTACAGGTAACGCGCCACCACGCATGGCTAATTTTTGTATTTTTAGTAGAAACGAGGTTTCACAACATGGGCCAGGCTGGTCTTGAACTCCTGGCCTCAAGTGATCCACCTACCTCGGGCCTCCCAAAGTGCTGGGATTGAGGGCTAGAGTCACCGCACCCGGCCCAGACCTGTAATTACTAAATTTTATGTACTAAGTTTTGAGGTCCTACTGGTATTCTTCTCTCCACTTCTCTGTCTTTGCCACAGGTATACCATTGAATCTGCTGGTGCTAAAATGCACAAAAGAGGCATCTCCACAGTGATCCAGACCACAGTGTGATGGGTATGGACTGGTTGTCAGAAGACCAGCAAGACGAGCAGCAAACAGAGAAACCCGAGGGGGTGTGCCCTGGCCAGGAGGCAGTGGCTGCCCCCCACCTAAGGCCTGTTGGGGGACTTGGGAAACAAGTGTGGCCCCAGCAGGGCCAGGGAACATGGCTTTGGAGCTGTCTGTATAATTGCTAGCATCTATGCCCAGAGAGTAACCTAGGGCTTTGCGTGCATCTGTATTAGAGAGTTATTACACATGACTAAGATGGACGTGACTTGCAGGATACTTCAACGTGCACGCACCTTTGTGGCTAGAAAGTGGAAATGGTGGCTAGGTGTAGTGGCCCACGCCTGTAATCCCAGCACTTTAGGAGGCCGAGGCGAGTGGATCACCTGAGGTCAGGAGTTCAAGACCAGCCTGGCCAACATGGTGAAACCCAGTCTCTACTAAAAATACAAATAATTAGCCAGGTGTGGTGGCAGGTGCCTGTAGTCCCAGCTACTTGGGAGGCTGAGGCAGGAGAATTGTTTGAACCCGGGAGGCGGAGGTTGCAGTGAGCTGAGATGGCGCCACTGAACTCCAGCCTGGGTGACAAAGGGAGACTCCAACTCAAAAAGAAAAAAAAAAAAGAAAGAAAGAGAGTGGAAGTGAGATGACATGGCACTGGCGAGGGGAAGCTCCAGGAAGCCCCTGTCCACGTCTCCGTTCATCTCCTTCGTTCTGCTTCATTACTGTGGAAGTTTCCTTCCAAGGAGAGGGAGCTCCACTGTTCTAACTAATGGCCTCCCTCTACCTCTGTTTTGATCTGATTTCTAAATTTGGGATGAAGAAACTGGCTGTGCAGCTCCTGGACTTTCTTTCTTTTTTTTGAGACAGGGTCTAGCTCTATCACTCAAGACTGGAGTGCACTGGTGTGATCTCAGTTCACTGCAACCTCCGGCTCCTGGGCTCAAGTGATCTTCCCACCTCAGCCTCCTGAGTAGCTGGGGCTACAGGCACGTGTTACCATGCCTGGCTAAGCCTGGACTTTGTCCTCGTGAGAGGCGGATCACACATGGGGAGGCCTGTTCAGGGGCAGGGCTGCCACCGTGGGGAACTTTGCTTGGGTCTAGGGTTCATGTAGCAGGTGCGCTCAGCTCTCATAATGGGCAGCATCTTGTGACTTTGCCTTTATGGGCAATAAAGGTGTGATTTGGGCTCCCACCTAATATTTAAAAATTTCCCAATTTGTTGAGAGCCTGGGTGGTTTACTGGGCCCCTTCAGGAATTCCAGTGGACCTTATGGGGGAGGGAGGGCCCCGTGAGAGACACAGCTTCCCCTCCAGCCTGACTGTGACATTGTACTGCCCGTGACTGTGTCAGGTGCACAGCTGGGAGGGCCCCCCTGCCATCAGCTACACCTACATATGGTCACCTTGGTTGAACCAGGTGCACCTACCCCAGTATTACCGTGCCCTAAGGAAAATGGGAAGTAGCAATTGAGATGGTAATTGGCAAGGCACTAGCTTAGGGATTTCCATCAGGGTCCTGGAATTCTTGCTTTCTAGCAGTAGAGAGTGTGGTTATAGCTATGATCGGCAACTCAGCAACCTTCAGTGGGTTTCCTGGATCGACTCCAAACACTTCATCCCAGCCTACTTTGTTCTACCAAGACAGCACTGGGCCCTGACCTCCTTAGCCCCTCTGAGTTCTGTATTTTTCATCTGTAGAATGAAGAGAACTGGCCAGGCACGGTGGCTCATGCCTGTAATCCCAGCACTTTGGGAGGCCAAGGCGAGTGGATCACCTGAGGTCAGGAGTTCAAGACCAAGCCTGGCCAGCATGGTGAAACCCCATCACCACTAAAAAATACCGGGTGTGGTGGTAGGTGCCTGTAATACCAGCTACTTGGTAGGCTGAGGCAGGAGAATCACTTGAACCTGGGAGGTGGAGACTGCAGTGAGCTGAGATCGCACCGCTGCACTCCAGCATGGGCAACAAGAGCGAAACTCCGTCTCAAAACAACAACAACAAAAAACCAACTTAGGCAAGGGAGTTCTTTAGGAAGCAATCGAGAAAGTAAATCTTCCCCATAGAAAACCAAAACAGCGGAGTCAGAGCTGCTGGATCTAGAGAAAGGGGTTGGATCGTCCATCGGTGGGGACTCCCTCCAGCTCCCTCCCAGGGGACGGATGACTGACCAAGGTCTGGTGGGAGCAGAGGCGCCGTGGGAGGGAGGAGGGGCTACCGGGCTGTGCCTGACAGGCTGCGGCAGGAGAATCGCTTGAGCCTGGGAGGTGGAGGCTGCGCTCCAGCCTGGGCAACAGAGTGAGACTGCCTCTCAAAAAAAGAAACAACAAAAAATGAAGAGAATATGGTTTCTCGTGTACAGTTCTGAGCTGTGAGGATTAAGTGATAAAACTCAGTGAAACATTTAGCTCAGAATCTGAGATCTAGAAGATAGTCAATCTGTCTTCATTAACTCATGAACTTTCCCAAAAGCACAGGTCTTAAATGACTTAATTTATTTAACTACAAAACTAATCAAACTAATTTGGAAGATAACATGGCAGAAGACCCAGAGAAAGCATTATAAAATCACCAAGAAATAAAAGTTCAGGCCAGGTGCGGTGGCTCATGCCTGTAATTTCAAGGCTTTGGGAGGCTGAGGTAGGAGGATGGCTTGAGGCCAGGAGTTTGAGACCAGCTTGGGCAACATAGCGAGACCCCTGTCTCTATAAAAACTCAGCAGGCATGGTGGTGCCTTGATGTCCCAGCTATTTGGTAGGCTGAGGTGGGAGGACTGCCTGAGCCCAGGAGTTCGAGGCTGCAGTGAGCTATGATCGTACCACTGCAATCTAGCCTGTGACAGAGCAAGCCCTTGTCTCTAAAAACAAAAAACAAAAAACGAAAAACATGCATACACACACACACACACACAATATATATATATATGTATATGCACTAAACCACAGAAGTTTCACTCCTCTTGAACCATGAATATCTATTTTCTCCCTTATTAAATGATGTAACTGAGAGGTGATATTCCTTCTGGGTCATGGCAGATACCACCTGTCTAACTATGTGACAGTGACTAGAAGGGACATGGCCTTACATCTCTGGAGTTAAAACCTCCAATAAAACCTAAGGAACTGCCAAGTGCTGTGGCTCACGCCTGTAATCCCAGCACTTTGGGAGGCCGAGGTGGGTGGATCACCTGAGGTCAGGAGTTCGAGACCAGCTTGACCAACACAGTGAAACCCTATCTGTACTAAAAATATAGGAATTAGCCTGTAATCCCAGCTACCTAGGAGGCTGAGGCAGGAGAATCGCTTAAACCCAGGAGGCAGAAGTTGCGGTAAGCTGAGATTGTGCCATTGCACTCCAGCCTGGGCGACAAGATTGAAACTCCATCTCAAAAGAAAAAAACCAAACATATAGGACCAATGAACCGACCAATTACTGAGCTCCCAGCCCCTGGAGCATTACCCCTGTGCGCCACGGCGGCCCAGGACAGATTGGCCCCTTCCCCTGGGTCTTAAATGACTTAATTTATTTAACTACAAAACTAATCAAACGAATTTGGAAGATAACATGGTTGCTCCCTGGGACCCGGGCGTACCTGTAGTTGTGAAACCAGTTGATGACGGTGCTGGTTTTCAGGTTGAGCTGGGTGGCGAGGTCTTCGATGGTTTTTGGTGACGGGTATGGCTTTTGTTGATACGCTCGTTTCAGGGCCTCCTTCTCCTCAGGAGCCAGCACCACCCGGGGTTTCTTCAGCTGGTGCTGGGGCTGGGGGCTGGCGCCCTGGCTGTACTCGGTGCCCACGGAGGGTGGCTCGCAGGGCTGAGTGTCACTGACTGAGCTGTGCCGCCGCTTCATGTAGGCTGGGGAGGGAGAGATGGCAGACTGAGGTCAGGCCCAGCTGGGACAGCAGCCCAAATCCCCGGTCCCCGCTAGCGGGACAGCATAGAGCCAGCTTGCAGGAGTTTGCATAGAGCATCTCAAAACACTAAGATGAGGCCGGGCGTGGTGGCTCACGCCTGTAATCCAAGCACCTTGGGAGGCCGAGGCGGGCAGATCTCTTGAGGTCAGGAGTTCAAGACCAGCCTGGCCAACATAGTGAAACCCCATCTCTACTAAAAATACAAACATTAGCTGGGCATGGTGGTGGATGCCTATAATCCCAGCTGCTCGGGAGGCTGAGGGAGGAGAATTGCATGAACCCAGGGGGTGGGGGTTGCAATGAGCTGAGATTGTGCCACTGCACTCCAGCCTGGGTGACAGAGCAAGACTCTGTCTCAAACAAAACGAAAAACACAACAGGAAGATGAGAGCCATTCTGTCACCAGCACACGCCCACCAAGGACCTGCTGTGACGGAATGTGAGGTCCTCATCGGTCCCTGCACCACTTAACAGTTTAGTGGGGGATGCAGAGACGTATCCAGAGAGATGTTCACAGCAGAGTGAAAGTGGGGTGGGGTAAGTGCAAGGGAGCGTGAGGATGCCAAGGAGTTCCTCCTCCAGGACTGGGGAGGGGCAGGGGAAATTGCTCAGAAGAGATGACTTGTTTTTTTTTTTTAAAAAAAAAGACAGGGTTTCACCATGTTAGTCAGGCTGGTCTTGAACTCCCAACCTCAGATGATCTGCCCAACTTGGCCTCCAAAGTGCTTGGATTACAGGCGTGAGCCACCAGGCCCAGCCAGAGATGACGTTTAAACTGTGCCTTGAAGGATGCTGCCAGGCGTGGTGGCTCACGCCTGTAATCTCTGCACTTTGGGAAGCTGAGGTGGGAGGATCGCTTGAGCCTAGGAGCTGGAGACCAGTCTGGAGAACATAGCAAGACTCTGCCTCGACAAAACATTTAAAAATTAGCCAGGTGTGGTGGTGTGCACCTGTAGTCCCAGCTCCTCAGGTGGCTGAGGCGGGAGGCTGGAATAAGCCCAGAATGTGGAGGCTGTAATAGTGCGCTATGGCTGCACCGCTGCACTCCAGCCTGGCAACAGAGTGAGACTCTGTCTCTAAAAAAAATAGGGGCCAGGTGCAGTGGCTCACACCTGTAATCCCAGTACTTTGGGAGGCCGAGGTGGGCGGATTACAAGACCATCCTGGCCAACATGGTGAAACCCTCTTTACTAAAAATACAAAAAAATTAGCCGGGCATGGTAGTGCATGCCTGTAATACCAGCTACTTGGGAGGCTGCGGCAGGAGAATCACTTGAGCCTGGGAGGTGGAGGCTGTAGTGAGCTGAGATCGCACCACTGCACTCCAGCATGGGCAACAAGAGCGAAACTCCGTCTCAAAACAACAAAAAACCAACTTAGGCAAGGGAGTTCTTTAGGAAGCAATTGAGAAAGTAAATCTTCCCCATAGAAAACCAAAACAGCGGAGTCAGAGCTGCTGGATCTAGAGAAAGGGGTTGGATCGTCCATCGGTGGGGACTCCCTCCAGCTCCCTCCCAGGGGACGGATGACTGACCAAGGTCTGGTGGGAGCAGAGGCGCCGTGGGAGGGAGGAAGGGCTACCGGGCTGTGCCTGACAGGCTGGGCACCTGGTCCCCCGAGGGGGCTGAAGAAGGCCTGTCTAGGGAACAGCTCTTGTGGTCAGCACCCCCAGGAGTGAAGAGTAGGCCCTGGGACCACAGCGGCTTTGGAGACCTGGGCACCTTTGGAAGGGTCTGGGTGGTGCAGAAACAGTAACTCATTTGTAACACAAGAGGGCGCCCTGAGCCCGTGCAGAGGGAAAGACAGGGGACCTGGGAAGCTCTGGATATGTATCTGGGGGGCCTAAGGTCCTTTCCTACCAGCCAGGGTGAGAAACACAGCAGGCAGTGGGGCTGTCAGGGCCTCCTCCCTTCTGAGAGCTGAGGGCTGCCTCCTGGCGAGTGCAGGAAGCTTCACGCTGCTTGGGTGAGGGGGGATTAACAGGAGACTTGCACGGATATATTGGGTTCATGACAGCATTCTCTCTACTTTTGTTTATGTTGGAAATTTCCCATAATAAGATGTTGAAAGGGCCAGGCGCAGTGGCTCATGCCTGTAATCCCAGTGCTTTGGGAGGTCAAGATGGGAGGATTGCTTGAGGCCAGGAGTTCAAGATCAGCCTGGGCAATATAGCAAGACCTTGTCCCTTTAAAAAAAAAAAGAAAAAGAAAAATGGAAAGGAAGTTGAAAACTTTTGGGGGGCCAATGAGGCACCAGGCCTCTGCAGCTTACAGCACTGCCTGTGCTACCTCAGAGCCTTAGACTACACGCCCAAGGGCAGGCCCTGAATGGGGCAGAGGCCACCACCTGGGCAGGCTATCACTGGGCAGCAGCAGTGCCCTGGGTTCCGGGAGGGCAGCTCACAGCAGAGAGGCAGCGGATGTATGTTTAAGATCACCTGCTTTGAAATCCACCAGCCCTAAGTTTGAATTCCTGCTCCCTACTGATAGCAGCTATTGAAATCTGCTAGGCTGCACGAGGCCCCAAGTCTCATATTTATTTCCTGGATAAGGACATTTACATAGGACAGAGTCGTGTAGATGGAGAGCAGTCTTAGTGCAGTGTCTGGCAAACAGGGCGGTTCTCAGAAAATAGAAGCCTCTTATTATGATAAAGGAACCCCCACAGGGTTCCTGAAAGAGGCACCAGAGACTCTCTGTCCTTCTGCAGCCCTTTCCTGGGTTGGGTGAGAAAGGTGATGCTTGGCTGGAATTTCTGGGTGAATTAAGAACCGATAGCCCTGGGTTCCGTACCCACCCCTGGCTCAGACGCCATGGTTGGGTGGGGTGGGGTGGGGTGGGGTAGAGCCCCTCAGGAGCCTGGGATGCCCAATCTTTATTTTTATTTTTTTGAGATGGAGTCTTGCTCTGCTGCCCGGGCTGGAGTACAATGGCATGATCTTGGCTGACTGCAACCTCCTCCTCCTGGGTTCGAGTGATTCTCCTGCCTCAGTCTCCCCAGTAGCTGGGATTACACGAGTGTGCCATGATACCTGGCTGATTTTTGTATTTTTCAGTAGAGGCGGGGTTTCACCATGTTGCCTAGGCTGGTCTCAAACTCTGGACCACAAGTGGTCCACCCACCTCGGCCTCCCAAAGTGCTGGGATTACAGGCATGAGCCACTGCACCCAGCTCCTGGGATGCCCACTCTTAGTTAAGATTCTCTGCGTTAGCTGATGAGGGAGGGTGGGCACCACTTCTTTTTTTTTGAGATGGAATTTCGCTCTTGTTGCCCAGGCTGGGGTGTAATGGCAGGATCTCAGCTCACTGCAACCTCTGCCTCCCAGGTTCAAGTGCTTTTCCTGCCTCAACTTTCCAAGTAGCTGAGATTACAGGCAGCTACTTGGCTAGTTTTGTATTTTTAATAGAGACAGGGTTTTTCCATGCTGCTCAGGCTGGTCTTGAACTCCTGACCTCAGGTAACCCACCCACCTTGGCCTCCTAAGGTGCTGGGATTACAAGGGTGAGCCACCGGGCCTAGCTTGTTATGGTCAGACCTGCAGCAGCTGGTTCCTGGTCTCTGCCTCTGAGGGATGCATTCAGCTGCCCAGTCAGCTCCCAGCACTGCGGGTGACCTGAGGACTGAGGGTTCCCGAGGGGCGGACTCACTGGTGAGGACCAGTTTTTAGGAACTGCAAACCACGAGGCACAGCACACCTGGCTTTGGGCACTTTTCCTACGCTGAACCCTACAGGCTGCAAGAAGAATGCGAATCCACATTCGAGATGACATGTGGGTGCATGTGGGGTTATCCCTTTAGGGAGGCTGGATCCCCAGGGGCTGCAAAATAACAACGAGAGAGAGGTCTGTGTGGCAGGAGTTTGCTCTGTCACTTTCCACGCCGGGTATCCTTGGTGGAGGCACTGAACCTCTCTGAACCTCTGTTTCTTGATCTACAAAATGCAGGTTTTTTTTTTTTTTTTTTTGATAGGGTCTTGCTCTGTCATCCAGGCTGGAATGCGGGGGCTCAATCTCTGCTCACCACCTCTGGGATTCAGATGCTTCTCGTGCCTCAGCCTCCCAAGTAGCTGGGATTACAGAGGCACGTGCCACCACGCCTGGGTAATTATTATTTTTTTGTAGAGAAAGGGTTTTGCCATGTTGGACAGGCTGGTTTTGAACTCCTGACCTCAAGAGATCTGCCTGCCTCAGCCTCCCAAAGTGCTGAGATTATAGGCATGAGCCACCATGCCTGGCCTACAAAATGCATTTCTTTTTTTTTTTTTTT